ATTAATCCCTTACACACTCGTAAGTTTACCATATCTCGAAACCCATCTGTGAGCTTTATCGTTCAACTCACACAGCTTAACACATGATTCAAAGGTTCAAAACCCCTAACATCATGAATTGCACACTGGTAATATGAAGGTTTGCATGTTATAAATATTTAGGCTTCTAAATTGAATTGAACCAAGAGCTGTTCTATAAAAGTTGAGCTTCTTCACTTTGGTCTTATATTGAAATTTTTATTATAATGTTTTTTAGAGAGAAAATATTATTAAATATATTTTTTAGCTGAAAATTTAACGGTAGATGTTGAGATATATAGTCCCACATTGATTGTGTGGGCAACTAATGTGGCCTTTATAAGGCCTTGGGCACTCTCACTCTTTGAGCTAGCTTTTGGAGTGGTGTATCCCAATGTCATTTACATGGTATCAGAGCTCGAGTGACTATAAGGTCACAAGTTCGATTCGGCCCCCCACTTTCAAGTCCAAAGGACTCTTGCGTGAGTGGGTGTGTGGAAATATATAGTCTCACATTGATTGTGTGGGCAACTAATGTGGCCTTTATAAGGCATTGAGCACTCTCACCCTTTGAGCTAACTTCTGGGGTGGCATCAACAAAAGCTATTCACAATGATACTTTTTAATAATTTACCAATAAAAAATTAGTAATGAGAATTAAATCTAAACTTTTGACTTCGGAGGGCATAGTGAAGAGGATAATATGAAGTTAAAACAATGGTGACCGAACTGTCTCTTATAATTAATATATTGATATTGATTCTATTCTAATAAGAGCCATTAATATTCATAAAATGATAGGAACCTACCTCCTTTTCCAATTTTTATTACAAGAGGCTGCTTTGCAGGTAGTAGGCTCTGCTACCATTATTTCCTTATTATATGTGCGCTATCGAAGAATTAATGCATTGACTTAGAGACAAATATATAATAACTAACAACTATCCGTGCATGCATTTACAGATATTTTAAATTTATATAAAATTTATAAATACGAATTAAAATGATTAAAAAATTACATAATTAAATCAGGTAAAATTTTGAAAAAAAAATTAAAATTATAAAGAAGATATGTGTAGTTAATAAAAAAATTGTATCTTATTTCCAAGAAAATGAAAAAATAATTTACAAATGATGAAAAATTAAGTCATTCTTAAGACAATATACTTTAACTTAATATATAAGAATATAGTAGACGAGATTAGAAAAAGAAAACAAATTTTATTGTAAGAAATAAATAAAAAATGGATTAATTTTATAGTATAAATAATAAATATTTCATTTAAAAAATTTAAAAATAATTATTTTTAGAGTATAAACAATTGATAATTTAAAAGAAAGTAGCCATTTAAAATAAGAAAGAAAAATTTATAATAATTAACAACTTAAAATTTTGTTATCTACCAAAAAAAACTTAATTTTTAAAAAATAAAATAAAAAAGAGTGTTAGAGAATGAACTGATGAAGTCCCATGTTATAAGAAAAAAAGAAAGTAAAATAAATGATTATGTTATTCGCAAGAGTAAGAACTCTATTTAATTATTTAATAATAATAATAATGGTTTAATAATATTTAATTTTAATGTAGGGAAAATTGTTTCTGCAGTTACTGCAGATAAGTTGTCTACATTTATTCTCAAATCGACGTCATTTTGGTATTGAAATCTTACAAAAATACCATGATTTCCGCTCCAAAACAACGTCGTATTGAACTTACTGCAGATAATTTATCTGCAGTAACTGAAAAAAAGCAAACCATTTAATATATTATTAGTGTAAAAAATACTTTATATAAATATCACATTTGTTGAATTTGACTGTGCTAACAATTATATATATATATATATATAATATATCAAATCTATTAAATAATATGATAACATACCATTAAATGCAAGTCAAAAACTTTAGTTACAACAAGAGCGCTTTAATATTAAATTCATATATAATAATAATAATCATTGTCAAAATAAATTAATGAAATCACCTTCGTCTTCACTTCACACGTGACATAATGCTAAATATAAATTTCTTTTATGCCCTGTCTTCTCATAATAAAAATTAATATTTTTATAAAGGTTACTTGTTTCAAAAGCAGTTTTGAATTAAGTGCTTCTTTCCGTAATGTGGTAGCGGTAGATAGGACTGGAAAGAGGTGTGGATGTAAGCTAAGGTAGATAAGTAGATTCTGAATTTCTGACAGTTACTAATATATGAGACGTGAATGAAACTGGAGGAAGCAGAGAGGAACATAAATGAAGGGAACGCAAGGTGGGTTGGGGCTATTTAACAGAGGAAACCTGCTGATGAGAGTGACGAAGAAAGATGACCAAGAAAGCAAGGTTGTTTCAAGTTGGTCACTATTCAAGTCTGCATTTAAGTGAATTCAAAGTGGTTTAATGAAGGCAGGTGAACTTGTTTGGGAGTGAACATTGAACCCTCCATCTCTTTCTCAATTCCTTTAATGGCCCGGTAGGTAGGACCCTTATTTCTTTTCCTTGGATTTCTACCCATCCATTTTTCCCATTTTCTAAGTTTTTTTTTTTTGGATAATAACTCTAAAGCTATTATTAAATCTTGTCTTTCACTCTCTCTTTTTCGTTTTTTTTTTATTAATAAAAATTTAGATGGAGTTAAACACTGATATCTCACTAGGATCAAGAGAGACCTCCCAACTTTTTTTAAGATATTTGGAAGGTCTTTCTCTCTTTCTTTGTAAATTAACTAGCTATGATTAATTATTTACCGTAGATATGGTTCTCCTTCTTTTTCACTTTTAATAATGATTTGAATGTATAATCTTATTGAATTATAAAATGAGAAGAGAACATCGGAAGAAAACTTGTTTGTATGAATTCTTATTACAATATTGTTTTTATCATGGCAACAATACACAAATGAATCAGAGAGTATTTTCATAATTATATATGGATAAGCTAGACTAAAATATGACATTATTTTAGATTTCAAGCCATACCATGCATTATCAACCGTTAATTTATAAATCAAACACGTAAAAAACCCACATATGTCTCGTTGTTTTTTTATATGGTTCAGTTGCATATAACGACAATTACATAAATGCTTTTCTGTTTTAAGGATACTCAAACATGGAAGCAAACTTGTCAAGATCTTGGGAGGGAGTGGGCATGTATCTATGAGCTTGAAAGTATGAAGTGCAGTTGCAGGATTCTGGGGAGGAGATGGGGAGTGGTTGTTCTAAACATTTATTTAGGAGAGAGAAGGAACATTAAATTTCCGTTCATTTTTTTAGGTAACTCACAGGACTTGGTATTAGGACATATTTGATGCATAGTATAGGATAAGGTCTGATAGTACAAGACTTGATAGTATAAGATTTGATTGTATAAGACTTGATTGAATTTTAATACTATCAAGCGTTTAGCACGGTATTGTATAAAATAATATATTGTATAAGATAATATGATCTAGTATTTGGTAATGCACTGTATAATACTATATATGATAAAAATAAATATTTTTAATAAAAATATCCTTTAATAAAGAATTTATATAATTCTTCAAAAAATGTCATACGATATTAATTTTTATAAAAATTTATTGATCAGTGTGTCCAAAATATAAATTAATTTTTATAAAAATAAAAATATTCAATATTTAATATTTTAAAAATTAATATATTTTTATTTTAATAGATTAATATTAAAATAATATATTGTTTTTTGAGAATTACATTGGTCAACCATGTTAATACATCAATCTCTTATCAGGTCTTATCCCTCACCCTTAGGTCGGATTAAGTTATACATCATTTTGATCTATTAAGGGATTATGTTGTATAAGCTTATACTATACGGTGGTCACACCAAACAACTGAAGATGTCATAACATATAGTATGAGCTTATATTATTATGTCTTATACGTCACATCAAACAAGCCCTAATAACCGAGGGTGACGAGAGCTTTTACTTATAGCGTGTTAAATATTGGAAATGAATCCTCCTCTGAAAAAAATATATTATGATACGGTCATACGAGAATATTATAATTATATAAAAAATTAATCAATATCTATGATTTATTAATTACTTATTTAAAAAAAAAATTCTTTTTTCTTTTATTATCATTAATTTATTTTTATATAGTTATGATTTCTCGCACGATCATGTCATATTTTTGTTTTACAGTAGAGGCTCTAGATCCGTTAAATACCGTAGTTCCTCCGTGGATGTGGATATGTTCGTTTCAATGGCTGAAGCGGGTGTTGAGAGCTTCAAAGTGTATAGTATGAGAAAACATCAAATTATTTAAAAAAAAAAAAAAAAAAAAAAAACATCAAATTCGTCTTCGGAAACATGAATTTTTGATAATATAAAAATCTTACTCTTAAATGCCGGTTCTAAGGTGTCCAATACCCTAAGGAGAGTTTTTGCATTCTAACAAACTAATGTGTACACAATAATATCCCATACATGACTTTGAGGTTTACTTTTTAATTTTTTAATTTTCGAGTGACCTAATCGGGGAAGTTGGAGTTATTATCTACATTAAAGAACCATTGGCATTCATTCAAGGCCTCCTCTTCAACTGTTTACAAACTCCAAACATTAATGACCCATGTCATATATCTCCTCTCACCGACTTTCATAATAATGAGTACCAAACTTGCCCTTTCGGCTTGGCTTTATAGCATGTCATGTCATGGAGAAGCCAAATTAATTTTATACTACGATTACGTGTTGTAGTTTTGTTTAGTTGGTGCTACATAAAGTACAGATGGTGTTGCGACAATGGCACCTTGGCAGTGTTAAAAGGCATACAATGAGTTGAGTTTTAAACAAAATGTGTTTGTTAAAAGTTCACATAGTACTTTGAAAGCATGAAATTGAAAGAGCCCATTTTTAATATGGGATAAAATCCAATTTTTTATTAAGAAGAATAGGGATAAGTACTTAGTCCAAGAAATAAAAGCTTAAGCTTTGTTAGTACCAAAGATAAGCGAACTTGGAAAGCACGTCATATGTAGGTAGGCAAAAACCTTCTATTTTGACGCTTAGAATTTCAAGTTTTGTCCCCCACTATATAACCACCTCAAACTCATTAAACATTTCACACACCAAGAGACGGAAAACGCACTCAACTTCGAGGGAAAGAGAGGGTTGAAGCCACTCTTGAATATTGAAGCTATGGTATCCTTTCACAAAGCGCTGCCCGAGAGCCCAAAAACGGAAGCTCCTGCAGAATTTGATGCTTCATCAAAGAAGAGAAAGTGGGAAGAGGCAATTACTGAAGAATTCTTCAAGGATCAAACTAATGCAGAGAAAAGGAAATCCATCTTTGATATTGACCTACACCTCGAGACACCATTATCTTCACATAAATGGCAACAATACCTCAATATTCAGGTATATATCATGTATGTATTTATATATATATATATATATATATAAAGGTGGCTTATGTGTTATTAGTTGTTCTCATGAGTTATTCTAATCTTTCATCTTCTTCTTGCAGTCAGGGCAGACACACTTGTCTAACACAAGGATGAATAGGAAAACACCAGACTCAAAGAAAAACCCTGAACCTGATCAACCTCAATCTTTTGGTCAAATGAGCTTAGACCTTGAGCTGAACTTGACATGTGAATCACTGAAGAAAAAAGAAGACAGCTATGACATAAATGAGAAGATCAATTCTGGTTCCTCTGGGAGTTTGGGTGAACGTGATCTATTGATTGGATCAAAAAAGTATAAAAAGGATTCATGTGTTTTAACTCGATCTCCATCATGGTTATCTTCTGAGGCAGAACACAAAGAGATGATTGCCAGAGTCTGTATGAGGTGCCACATGTTGGTAATGCTGTGCAAGTCATCACCTTCATGTCCTAACTGCAAATTCATGCACCCACCAGATCAGAACCCTTTTAAATTCTTTAAGAAAAGAAGGTGCAGCCTCTTGAGCTAATCAGGAGCTGTTACTGATTTGAAAATTCTCTGCTTTATAGCATTTAGCATGGCATGGCCCGAGCTTACGTTATCTTTTAATTCCCTCTTGAATAACCGAAGTTTCTTTATATTGTAGCTATGACTTCAAAACAAGGGATGGTATTTAATCTACCTCTACGTAGTTGTAATTTACCTGTTAGAATTAATGAGGTGACCGATAAGAAACTAACCTACTGTATCATAACCATATATCTATCTATATACATATGAGAGTGTTCTACTGTTCTTGATCATCCTGAATTTATTTATGTTGTTAGATGATAGTGGAATTTAGGTTTCAGTATTTGAAATTAAACAAGACCGTTTTCCCTTATGAGGCCTCTTAACTCTCAACATGTATCACCAAGTTGAAACAATTGGTCTGTGTATTGTGATTTTCTTTTCCAGAAATGAGAACTGACATTTCAACATGTTGCAGGGTTACTTGTCTTCAATCTTGTAAATTAAGTTTGCATTAATTTGTTGAATTAGATTATTAGTTTTCTCCTTTTGTATTATATATGTTAAGACGAAAAATTAGATACAGAACCAGAAGAGTCTCTACTTATTTTTCTTCTCTCTCTTGTTTTGGCCCCACGGAAGGATAGCTATTTTGTTGAGGCTCCATGGTAATATAGTTCTTATTCTTTTTGCACCCTGTCCAACAAAACAAATTAAAAGTTAATTGCATCATGTTAAAATAAGGACATAATTTCACTGAATGACAACTCCTGCAAGAAAAATGATGAGCGAAATATTGAGAAAATGTTTATGTAAATTCAAAGCATCTGCTAAAGTAATATCTAGATGAACAACAGCATAATGTACCGACTGGTAGATGTATTAAAAAAGGACAAAACATTGTTGCGATCTAGGTATCAATCCTACAAGTAATAAAATTATGTTTCCAACGAGAATTGATCTATCAAGCATTATTTTCACTGCTCAACCAAAGTTGGATCAATTGAAATAGTAAAACAGATGCAACAACTGTCAAATAATAATCAGTAAATATCTTTGTTGGTCGTCAACAAATTTCACGATGCCCGCTTTAGTCCTTAACAAATAAAAAGGTTCATTGTGATCCCTAAAAAATTCAAAATGAACCCATTTAGTTTGAAATCGTGGTTCCTCACAAATTCAAAAAAGATCCATATTAATTCCTAAAAAGACTAAAACGGGCCCATTTTGAATTTCGTAGGGACCACGATGGGCCTTTTTATTTGTTAAGGACTAAAGCGGAGATTATAAAATTTGTTGAGAACCAAAAATGGTATTTACTCAATAATAATTAAGAGCAAGAAATTGACTCGAATTTAAAGTTGAAATAAAGATCATGTAACGTCTGGCCGCTTCAAGAATCAATGACTATCCCCCCACACACTAACACAAGACTTTTCAGTGTGCTTTTTTCTCACTCGCACACTTTCCGGAAAAACTTCTCAGGAGGTCACCCATCCCAGGGTTAACATAGGTAGTACCAATTAATTCTTATAAGTTATCCCGAACTGTGCAGTCTTACACACTAACACAAGACTTTTCAGTGTGCTTTTTCCTCACTCGCACACTTCCCGAAAAAATTTCCCAGGAGGTCACCCATCCCAGAATTGCTCCAAGTCAAGCACGCTTAACTGTGGAGTTCTTCCGATCCGGGCTACCGAAAAGTAGATGCATCTTGTTAGCATAGGTAGTACCAATTAATTCTTATAAGCTATCCCGAACTGTGCAGTCTTATACCTGCACAACCTTTGAAATCCCTCTCTTTCGGGTGTCGATTCGATTCATTCATGCATGTAACCCCCCGCTGGAAGCCTGTCAGGAGCCGCTCCTTGTCCGTGCCTCTTTGCACCGGCGATCACTCCCCGCCCTCGTCAGCGCTCGGGATGTTACATGCCCACCAGCTTCCGCCTGGTTCGTCCTCGAACCACACCGTACTGGATGAGAGGCCCTGCTCTGATACCACTTGTAACGCTTGCCCACTTCAAGAAGCAATGACTATCCCCACACACTAACACAAGACTTTTCAGTGTGCTTTTTCCTCACTCGCACACTTCCCGAAAAAACTTCCCAGGAGGTCACCCATCCCAGAATTGCTCCAAGTCAAGCACGCTTAACTGTGGAGTTCTTCCAATCCGGGCTACCGAAAAGCAGATGCATCTTGTTAGTATAGGTAGTACCAATTAATTCTTATAAGCTATCCCAAACTATGCAGTTTTATACTTGCACAACCTTTGGAATCCCTCTCTTTCGGGTATCGATTCGATTCATTCATGCATGTAACCCCCCGCTGGAAGCCTGTCAGGAGCCGCTCCTTGTCCGTGCCTCTTTGCACCGGCGATCACTCCCGCCCTCATCAGCGCTCGGGATGTTACAGATCACAAACTGGATGAGCAGCTAGGGTTTCGATTTTTCCAATTTCATACTAATCAATCTACTATATCCCTCAAATAACATTCAAACTCATGTTGTTGAACAACTCATCACAAATCAATCAAAACATAATCCCTTGGTATTTCAATTTTTCGACTTATTAAGAATCCAATTCTTAGTAATTCCCCTTAGTGCAAGCTTTAAGAATGATTAATTAACACAATCATAGGTTCTATTAGTCTATCCTTAGATTAAACAAAACCTAACTGTAACATTCCCATCTCGAGCCGGTTCAATTAACATACATATGGTACAAACAGAAACAGCGGAAGACTTAACTTACAAAAATACGAGCTAACTTTTTTTTTTCTTTTTCATTCATCTTAATTCACATGATATCTCACATTGCATACTTCTCCTAATTTAATTTGTATTTGACGAAGACAAAAATCGGGCAGAGTAACCTCTGTAAATTGGACAACTGGGGATTTGCCAATCCCACTCTCAAAGGTTCCTGATAAACAGTTTATACCATATATGATTTCAGAAATACCAGATATCTATATAAGACTATATAACCATCCATGGGTGTATGCATAACTGGCTCCGTGCCACTATGTCTAACAACATACATATTTCAGCACATGCACAAATGTACATGCATCAAATATGAACACATGTACAAAACATATACAGACCATATATTTTATAATGGATCAAACATCATGATCCCAAAATGAATAGAACACTATACAACAGTACATATTCTTCAAAAATAACATCTATAATAAATAGTAGCGTCCAGCCACCCAGAACTCCATATCCTCATACTAGTACCTCTAGCCACGGGTAGTGTCTTTGTCCCGTGAGGGCTCTTCAATTAACTGTGTTCCTGAAATCATATCCCCAAACGGCGTTAGAGACAAATCTCTAGTAAGCTCCAGGTTTATGGAAAAACTCTCCATACCCTGGGCTCACTTCCTGCATGAGAGTCAGATACATAATATACAAAACATCATATAAGCAAATATCATAGCTGTTAAGCATATACACATATCTTATCAAAGATGCATGCAGTATTTCCCAAGGGAGGACCCCAAGCGAAAATCATCGCACGTAACAAATATCGTAACTAAACTAAGCATATATACATATCTTATCAGAGATGCACGTAGTATTTCCCAAGAGAGGACTTCAAGCGGAACGCACATAGATTCATTTACGAAAATCATCCCAATAATCACATCAGAACAAAGCCTATCATATCAAAGATGTACATAGTCATTCCCGATGGAGGACCCCAAGCGAAAAGTGGATATCGTAAAATGGACTAATTTAGTTAAAATCGTGGTCCTTCATAAATCATTCCCGAGGGAGGACCCTAAGAAATTCAAAATGGACCAATTTAGTTAAAATCGTGGTCCCTCATAAATTCAAAAAAGACCCACATTAGTCTCTCAGAAGGACTAAAATGAGTTCACTTTGAATTTCTTAGGGATCACGAATAGCTTTTTTATTTGCTAGAGACTAAGGTGGGTATTGTAAAATTTGCTGAGGACCGAAAAAAATATTTACTCAATTTTTTTACCAGCAAATGAGAAAAAAAGGACTCAATTAATATTTGTCGGGTCAAGATCATTTTACATCAGTGTAAGTTACACTCTCAATCTTATCCGTTGATTCTATTTATATCTAACCGCTCAAATTTTTTTAAAATGTGAGTCATTGAATACAAGTGGATCAATAGTTAAAATTAAGGGTAAGACTTCTAACTCTTACAAAGAATATCCTACCCGTATTTGTCATTTTGATTACGCGCGCCAAAGAAAGGAACGAAAACCTCGTGGCAGATTTCGCTATTCAAAATCAACGGCTGCTGTTTCAGTTGGTTGCGAACACACACACAGAGAGAGAGAGAGAGAGAGAGAGAGAGATGGAAAAGGAAGAGAAGAACGTGAAATCGCAAATGGCACTGCGTCGTTGTGCAAAAGCAGCGTTGGTCCTGTATGGCTTGAAATCTACCAACTCTGGAGACGAGGTCCTTTCTCTGAACGCTAAACCCAAACACACACACTCTCTCTCTCTCTCTGTGTGTGTGTTTTTTTTCTCTGATTCGCGCCCTTTTTTGTTTCAGGAGAAATGGAGGAGAGAAATCGAAGACCTGAGGATCCAATTGCTGAAGGAGCGTTTGAAGAACAGGAAGATAAGGCTCTGCGCCTTTGTGGAGCTACTTGTTCAGCTCCTCCTGTTGCTCTCTCTTTGGACCTTCTTCTTGCTCTTCCTCCTTAAACCTCGTTGATCCCTGTCTCCACTTTTTGCCTTTCCCTTTAGCCTTCATTAGGGGAATGGAAGAACATAAATTTTGATCAAGTATTGACCATTGACTAGGATCGTTGGAAGCCAGGTACACTGGCATTTTGACATCATCAAAATTATTTGCTATGTTTTGGTTGAAATATTTGTAAATTGTCTTTGGTTAACATGCTGATGTTGCTTTGACCCATGACTCATTGAATAGAACTTCTCTTATATCTATCAGTATTAAGCCCTAAGTAGTTGAAAATGAATTTACCTCTACCACGTAAGAAGCATACACCATAATGTGATACCCTTAGCATTTTCCCTTTATTATTATTTCTCAAGAAATGAAGCCAAGTATGCTAGATTGAGGATAAGGTGTAAGTCGAGGCTCCCTTGTTATAGTTAAAGTTTGCAAGCTACGTGTATTTCATTAGAAAGCTAAGAAATGGAACTATTTGGGGTAAATTGTTTTATAATTTTTACATACCTGGTCTAGGTACCATTTTTCCATTGAAAACTGGTTGGCTTGTGCAGAAATTGCCTCCTGACAGCCTGAGTTTCAAGCTGCAGAACTTGGGTTATAGTAGTCCATTTGACCTAATTCCAGTGGCATCTAAATGCGAAGAGTTGTTTATGTAAAGAACCAATTCAACCCAAAAGCTTAACCTGTTAGATGAGGTTACATTAATGGTCCTATATTTCTCTAACAGTTTCTTTGCACGGTAAAAAGTTCAAGAGTTTAGGAGATCCGAGAAAACCTAATTCGTATCATGATAAAGTCTATGTTTCATAGCAAGGCATTTATCTTCACAGCATATGAATATCTTAAGTCATCTATTTTTTTGTATAAGGTACAATGAGCGCATAAATATAAGATGGGTATTTTATTTGAGTGTCAGAGGCTTGTATGACTCTCTGATTCCTTTGGAAGGTTGTTTTAACAGTAGCTCAAAATGGGATACCACTTATTCGCCATGAGGATTCAAAAGTGCCCCTTTATCTAGTAGATCTCTTGGTATTTTCTTAAATATAATAAGATGGATCCCTTCAACTTATTTTGATTGAGGGATCTGGTAGTGAGACTAAAGTTGACTTCCTACTTTCTATTATTTGGGACTCTTAAGTTGGAAATAGCTTCGTGGGAATATAGCTTCCAAATTATTCAAGGAATTCTTCTGTGTATCAAGGCTGGATTTGTTAGCAAGAAAACACTATCACTACTAGGCCAGGGAGCTACTGATCAAACTTTGGAGCACTGCCCCTAGGACTTTCGATACCCTTTTTTGGAGTTATGTGAAACTTAGGCTTATATGAATCGATTGTAGGAAAATTAAACACATATTTTCAATTTATATGTAGAATGAAGTGAAGGAAAACACTTAACTATCAAAATCAGTAGGAGCTCACTAATATAATTTCTCCATGCCTCTCATGCAGTATATATATATATATATATATATATATATAAGATTTTTACATTAGCTGCCCTAACATGAGTTTCCTGTCCCTTAAGTAACCACAACAGCAGCAACGCTTTTTACATGCCATATAAGTTTATACAGAGACATCAGTTGGTACTATACAGTATTATTGACTGATATATGAAGCAAAAGAACAAAGCCCCACAAAATCCCCATTCGGTATAACATAGTAACTGCAATTTCCACAATACCACTGGATTCTTTCCTTCAACATGAGAAACTACAATAATGAGATTGGTACCTCAGCATGCAAATAAGCATATCAAATCATCGATAAAACTTAAATTCACAGCATATGAAGTTATTTGACCATTTGTTCCAATTAATCACAGAAACAGTTCCACATTCAATCCTAGCAAACCTTTGAAATGCAATTTCTGGCCTGACTAGGTTAAGAACTCTTGTCAGAGTTTGTCTTTTCCTCTCTTTTTTGTTTGGAGATATTTCAATTGGTTTATTGCTTCGCGACTAATCCAATTCTGAGTTGGTCTCGGGATAAAGGCTTTAAACCCCTTCTAAAGACTGGAAATAATCAAACGCATGCTCTCACCTCACCTGTTCAATTTCGTGGCGCCAAATGTGCTACAATCATTTTTCTCTTTGTGTTGACTTATGGTTGCATACTGACACTGGCACTGGTCTGGTTTCAGAAAAGAAAAAAATAATTGTCTGAACCAATTAACTAAACTTGAGTTGGATTGAATTGGGTTTGTCAAAAAAAATTTAACTAACTCGAACAGAGGTAATCTGATAAAAAATTTTAACTAAAAATGATGTGGCCTTGTTAGTAATCATATGTTTCATAGATTTTTTGGACTACACTAAATATTTATGAAATAATAATTTTTCTTTTACTTTCTTCCTAATTTTTGGCCTTGCATAACTCGAGAGCTATTAGTTGAATAATTAAACTTATATATTCCTTATTCAACTAATAGCTCTCGAGTAGTCGAGTTATGCATTTAATTATTTGTATTTGAATATTTACTAGCTCTATAATAATTACACTTTACCCCCATCTTAATATCTTAATTGTTTGTACTAAAAAAATGTCTTAATTGTAATCCTATATAGATCTCAGCCTATAAGATGAGAAAAAGAAATTCTATTTTTTAAAAAAATGCAAAGGTAGCTATCCTCACAAAGTTTGCGATAGGATTTTCCTTATTTCTAGGGATGACAATTCATGTTGCAGTATCTAGTTCTATTGTGTTGGGTTGAGGTATAACACAAATACAAATATACTCAATCCAAGTGCGACGTGAATAAATATTTGTGTCAAAAACTCAAACATGACTCGTTAGGTAGGTTAACAGTACATGGCACACAAATAATTTGTTTCACAAAATAATGTGTGTTATCCACACTAACATAATATATTTATTATGTGAGTTCACACGATATAACATGATCTATTTATAATGAAAATTAAGTGAATAACCTTAAACTAATAAGTAACGGTGAGGCAAAATTTGTAAGGGAAATAAAAATATAATGTTCCAGGACCAAAAATGGTTGAAATGTCTATCAATATGAAGAATTGGTTAAAATATTATTTGACCAAGGAATATGAGACTTTGCTGAAACAATTATCGCCACAGATATCTTGCCAAGTAGATATATAATAACAACTAAAAAATTTATGAGTGGATCCTCTTATGTTAAAAAAAACATGATATGATTATGCGAGAAATTATAACTATATAAAAAGGGATCAATGAAAATAAAAAAAAATAAAAAAAATATTGAAATAGATAATTACAAAATCATTATCATTAATTTATTTTTTTATTGTTATTTTTGATATGATGATATCATATTTTTTTTAATAGGAGAGAATTTATTTCTAAATCTTCTCTTTCAAGTTGCTAAGATAATTATTTAGAAGCTTCAAAATTAAAATAAAATTTAAGAAGCCCAACCAAAACCCCTTTGAACGCGATGTTCCCGTTGGATTTTAGTGAAAAATAAAGAGATCGCTGAATCTTAAACAAACAGGTTTTAACTCATCGCAATTCATTGACGTGCATTGTTCATTGAAGTTCGAAAAGCCCTGTTTTGCAATATTTTATTTTAATATTAGCGTCGAATCAAATCGATGACTATTCTTAGAATATAACTTCTATACAATCAATCGCTAAAGGCAGAGAAATGATTATCACTAATAAAAATTTAAATTAATAAAAACAATTTATATAACACATCATTTGTCGGTTCAGATAATCAGAAATCATATGGGCCATATGTGTCAATTATAGAAATCACTCTTTTAAAAATAAAAATAAAAAAATCACATGGCTGCGAAGCCCGATTTGCACAAGTGGCACAATATTGTTGCACTTTAAACAGTGTCATAATCAACAGTAGAACAAGAAAATGTATGGGAAAGGCAGTAGGCTGATATTTTGTTTCGAAATTGACCCCAAACTGGTCAAAACTCAAAAAAAATCCGATAAACCACTTCAATCATAGTTGGGGGTAAATGATAAAGCTATCCGTTTTGAATTCGTTTTTAAAATATAATATTTACAAACCAAAGCAGTACAATTCACATTCATGTTCCACATCATGAAAAAAATTTCGTAATGTGACATTTTATTTACAAAAACATCCACACACAAGCCATTCAGTGGAGACAGGTTATGTACTGCAACCCATCAAACTGCTGCAATTCTATGTATTAACAAATTAGAGGGGGAGCTAGATTCTAATCGAGTCCCTTGCGTACACCAACTGCTTGCTATTATTCTGTCGCCAGCAGCTGTAGATCAAAACCAACAGAAATAAAATTTCTTCCAGCTTGATGCTTTCAATCTCCAATTCATTTTCAGTCCCATTTGCATCAATAAATATGGAAAGTACAAGAAGCCAAAGATGAATCAGTCAATGGGCACAAACTAGAGATATTAATTGCTAGGTTGTAACCTCAAGTCCCCACTCTCAACACTACAGTGAGTATCTATCACATACACATACATGCACTCAAAGAGAGAGAAAGACGGGAGAAGGGGATATGATTGGGATTGGTATAAAGTTTCCGCTTGAATCTCAAATATGAAAAATAAAAGAAAGTTTCAACTAGTTTGTACACCAAAGAAAGGAGGCCGAACCCATAAACATTGGCCAAGGGTAGCTATTGCCAGTCAGATATACGCATCCAGAGGAAGAAATAAAAATTGGAGTACTACAAAATCCAGGGATAGATGTCTTGTCCTAGTAAACTTCGGAGTTAGGATAAACAAATAATTTACTTCAACCATGCTTCCCTTAATTCCTCCTCAATCTAAACGAGGAATGGGCAACCTTTAAAAAAAAAAAAAAAAAAAAAACTGTCTGTCCTGTACTATCTGAGATGAGCACAAGATCTAAATTTTTTGTATTCAGACCAATAATCCAATCACAAAAATATTCTGAATTCCAGTATTCCCAAAAGCTGATCCTATATAACTAGTTGGCAACAATCAAACATACACGATCCAAAGAAACAGAAGCTATACAATTAGACCATAGATTGTAAAAGCCACAAGGGTTATCCTATATCTTAAAACCAAATCAATTTTTCACTGGGTTGTACAAGAACCAACCAGGTGAAAAATCTGCTCTATAATATATTTAAGGTGTATGTGTATCACAATTACCAAAGCAAGAGACAAAAAGTATTAACATGGAAGTCATGAAATCCATTAACAATCCTAAGAACTATGATAACGTTGCTAAAGTTTCAACTTAGTTTGGCTATTTTTCTAGTCCAATAAAAGTATAAAACTCTATCTTCATTTATAACTTGTAAGTCACAATTGCATTCACGAAACTAGCAGTCCATGCCCAATGGAAAATCAGGTTGCAGTCACCAAGGAAAACAGAGACAGTGACTCAAGAAGACTACACATTTTTAATGGATAGTTAACTATTAATGTATTACCTAATTTTCCATATCTGAACATTTGATGAAGCTGTGATTTGTGCAGAATGCAACACAAATACACAATTGCTCCTAGAAAATCAGACTTAAAAAATATATCTTGTGATGCCGCAGAGACACTGTCATCAAACATCCAATAGCTTTCTAGGTTTTTTGCAGATGGAGGTATAACAGAAAAGAAACAAAAGTGAACCAACCAAGCTTCAGATGACAAAGGTTGAAATTACTCAAATACTGTTTTCCAAAAAAAAATAAAAAAATACTCAAATACAAGCTTCAAGGTATTTATTCCCTGGCAGTGGCGATGGCTGAGAGTCTAAGACACCAAATTATAGAATTCCAGGGATCAATTATTAGTCAGTATTAGCATGGAGTCTATCTTAATTTAAGCTTGTGATTAAAACTGTACATCACTGAGACAGAATTAGAAGTTATGGAAGGGTTTCGGTATTTTTATTATGGCATTTAGCAGGAGGAAGAATCATGTTTCAAAGGAAATAAAATTCATGATTACAGTTATTTGATTGTAAATACCTCTAATCAAATGCATAGGGATCATCTGCATATGGATTCAGAGACCCTTCTGAAAACAAATCACCAATATTTGAAGGATGAGGATGACCTCCTTCCTTCATACTCTGCATTAATGATATGTTAAAAGAAAGTAGAATTGGATTAAATGAAAACAACCTTTAAACTTATAAGATCATATTAGCTCCTAACCATTGTCACTTCTGGTACCATCAGCATAGTGTAATAATAAAGATGAAAATGTTTATGTTTGAGAGAATAAAATAAATTATCCTCTAATAATTCACCCAAATACATGAGAGCTTTGCACCTTGATATTTTAAAGTGATGATGCAAAGAACAAGCTCTACATGACATCCCAATAGAATGGAAATTTCAGTTGAGTTGGTTACCTTGACAACACTTCCAGGAGTATTTGCTTTCGGTGTATTTATTTTACGTTTTCTTGGGTCCTGATAAAGACAAGAAATTCAATATTCACAGGCACGTAAGAAATCTGCATTTGGAAGCCAAACCATCTGTTGTGGTCATGTAGTTCATGTGTACATCTATAGGGTTAATAGAGTTTAGAGACAAAGAGATACATGCCTCAAACATGACAGTACTTCTTGTTTTCCTTTTCTTTGTAATTGTTCTTCCATTAGAAGTCTCAACTTCGTATTCATGGCGAGTTACCTGCCCATTGAGTTAAGGAGCTAAGGCAATTACCAAATATCATGGGTTATTTACTTCTATTATTCTTTCAGGCCACCAATTAAAAGCCCTAAAATATATATCATTTGCTATGCAATTGCTGCAATATAAGGGTCCTTCCTCTTGGCAATAAGTTCATAGAAGAGTAAGCCACCTTTCTATGATGCTTAGGAATGCTCATAGCACTTCCTGTTTTTACATTCTCCACTTTCTTCAACAACTTTGGCACTGGTGTTTGTGTTACTTCAATGTAAGGAGAGTCCTATGAAGAGGAGGGAAAGACCAACGAAGCTAGGTGACTTGGTGAGAACAATATTAAAATGTTATCGAGAAGGAGAGTAAAATTTCTTTCTTTCGATTTCCATTCTTACTAGGTCATGCTGACTTCTTTTGCCACCGCAAGAACTCCTCCTCTTAATTGATGAAACGGAGTAATCCTATCACATGAAAATATCAATATGCTAATTTTTCAAATTCAAATGAAATTCATTAGAAAGATTGAGGTTGATTAAATTTGCTCAAATGACTTTTGGCTAATGTATTCTAACACCTATCTCCCGGATTATCATCATATCCATATGTTCATCACTTTTGCCATTAAAGGAAATTGCTTAGGTCTCTCAATCACTCACAACCCATCATTTCAGGAGGAATTTTAAGCATATAGGCATATGAAACCAATAAGTAGCAAGTGTGGTTACTTTCTATAGCAGTCATCTTGAAGATACTTAGGAGCTTGAAACAACACATGATTACAGCAACCAATACCATAACATAACAAATGAAATACACAACTTACAATCAAACCAATATCTATAATCTTAAGAAAATCACTGCAATATATATGCTGCAATGTGAAGCCTTTGGAACTCTAATTTAAACCTTCCATGTTATATGCAAAATCATCATAAAAATCTTTTCACTTAATTTTCAAAACAGCTGCCAGAAATTGTGCCAACCAACTCTATCTAATAGCATGCCAGTATATAGTCATTACAAAATATTTATGCTATCAGTAACCAGATTATGCCTTTTTTATAATTGACAATATTACCATGAAGAAAATACATTGAAGTCCACAACCACAACTGATAGGATTGCGTTGAAAGAATATAAAAGAAGCAATTTTAGGTTATAATATTACACAAGCAATGTCTTCTGATTTGCCCAACTGTGCCTAACAAAAGATAAATCTAAAATGTCAAACCACAGTTATTCCTACAATTTTTGAGAACCTTCTAAGGTAAGACTTCACTTTACTGCAGAAAGTAGCATGACCTAATGTGAATGTAATACAAAATTACCATACTTGATTTTCTACAGTCAGTGAAGCAATATATACCCTTTACACAAATATAGCTAATAGCAATTAATATGAACTCAGAAACTATAAAAGCGCATGATTGATTTGAATATTCAATTTAGCTTAACTATTACTTATAGGTTGGAAAACAAGCATATCTTATAAAATATACCAACAATCTGACAAACATATATATTTGAATCCAAACATGCAAATTAAGTAATATGACATATATGAGATTAGAGAAAGACACAGACAAAGAGCTCGGTAACACAACTCAACCTGTTTTGAATTCACTTCTTGGTTCTCTTTTGGCTTGTCACTCATCACTTTCCACTGCAACTGTAACAAAGCCCTTTGCCTGTCTTCCTGCAATACATTCCAAAAAAAGCTTGAAAGTTATGTGATAAAATTAATTTGATATATCAGGTATTCCATACTTTGGATTTCTGGACATGCAACTCCTCTTCCAGCTTTTGACACTCATCTTCAAGTTCACACCTCAGTGCTTTAATCTGAACTTCATGTTCACCCTTCAGAGACGCTGTTTTCTACATATAATCAAGGTATCATCAGGTGAAGTAATTTCATATACAAATCATTGCTTAGACCTAAGAGTGTGTATGTGTGTGTGTGTTGCACCTCTCTCAGCTCATTTTCAGCTTGCAGTTGGGTACGCTTTAGCTGTTCACTGTGTTCAGTTATCAGGCTTAGTTGCCTCTTGTCATGCTCCTGCTGTATTTGAGTAACCTGTAAATTGAGCAGGAAATCAACGGACCTAGTGACTGGGAGTTTTTTAACTTAATGTTCCGCAAATTTCGTAAAAAGAAAAGCAGTGATGCAATAACATTCTCACAACTCACAAGAGTACGACCAAAAAAAGAGTATAGGACTATAATAGTTAAAGACAAACTTCAATGTAATTAGATCAATCTAAATTATCACTTGAAAATTTTGATATATTTATATAACTGACTGGATAGAGTAATTACTAATCACAAAGTAACTGAATTTTCAAAAGCAAGGATTATTTGAAGAAAATATTGCATAAAGTAATTAAAAATTCTACTAAAGACAAATCAGACCGCTTACAATTCTATGAAATAGAAGATGCAATCTTTCAAATTCAAGTCTTTTTAATGCATACCAGCCCAGTGTGTTCCTCCTGAATGCGCATTAACTCCTGCCTTGATTCTTCTTTGCATTCTGCAAGTTTTTGCTCACACCGTCCCTCAATTTCTGCAATAGCCTTGTCAGCCTGAAGGTTCAAATCGGTCAGAAATGTGTTGATGGAGATTATGTGCTACAAAGGCTAACATATCATATCAAACCTTGTCCTTTTCCATGTTGACAATTTCCATCTTCTCCAGCTCATATTTCCTCTTAATTTCATTAATTGCCTGCTCAAATACTGCAATTGTTATGTGAAGTTATTGCATAATACATCAAGCACCTGCAGTAGGTAACCAGTTATATATAACACCTGATCATTTCTAAGAGATATTTCTTTCAAATTCCTTGATAATTCCAACTGCTTATTCTCAAGCATTTGATCATATTGCTTTCTAGCTTCTGAAAGTTTACTTTCAGCAGCAGTCAATAATGATTGATTCTGCAAAGGCATGCAAAAAACTTAAATAGCACACAAAACCAATTAGGAATTTGCAGTATGCACTATATGCTTGCTCCAAAACCTTTGTGATCTGATCTTCCAGCTTCTTCTCCTGTTCCTTAAACTGCAAAATACACTGTTCTTTTTCCTCTGAGAGATTATGAAGCAGGCTGACTTCTTTATCAAGAGAATCTACATGTTGCTCTAGTTTCATTTTCTCCTTTTGCAAAGTTTCTATTTCCTCTGATTTCATCAGTATCTCTGCCTGCAGTGTTTCCTTATTTTCTTTGCTTTCAGTCTCTAATGCTGCAACTTTCAGCAATAAACCTTGCTGAAAAGCATTAGATACCATGATAAGGAACATGACAATGTATGTTAATAGGAAATTAAATAAAGCAAATTAACTGTCATACCATTTGATTCTCCGATGACCTAGAACTTTCTAACAGAATTCCAGCTTTCTCCTCTAATTTGGAAATTAAGTCCTCTGCTTCTGTCTTTTTTGAGATTAATGTTTCAGCTTCTGACTCTAAACTCTGAATTCTCTCAGCTGCTAATCGACATTCCTCTGTATGCTGCGTTACAGCAGACTCTAGGACTTTTTGAAGTTCATTCACTCTATTGCTTAACTCATAATTTATCATTTGAGTTGCATCCTTTTCTGATGCCAAGATCAAGAATTTATTGTTAAGCTCACCATACTGGTTTTGAGCATGCTTAGAGAAAGCTTCTCTCTCCTGCTGGACCAACTTGAAGCAAGAATCATAAAGAGATTTCATTTCATCAAACTTGCTCAAGAGGTTCAAGCTTTCTTTGTCTAAATTTAGCAAATGTGCAGCCAACACCTGAAGTAATCCTTCAAGATCTTTGATTTCCCTAAGTGACGTGTCAAGTTTTCCAGTAAGCTCAGCATTACACAATTGAAGATCACTCTTTTCCATCTCCAATTTCTCATGACTGATTATGTGATGCATAATTTCATCTTCTTTGACTTTTAACTGAAGATGAACCTCTCCCAACTTTGAGTTCAAACTCTCTGTGGCCAATCTACTAGATGTTAACATTCCTTCTAAATTCTTTATCATATTATCTGCAAGAAAAAGTGTGTTCCATAAAACAATTCAAATTAGTAGTAAGTTGAGGATACTGGTTATTCAGTCAAATATTTGTAAAGTCAAGTTCTGGTGTCAATGAGCGTGACATGAGAGGAAAGACATTAAGTGTTATCTTAGTCCATAACATTTATTATATGTCTAGAACCCCTAAGTAGACAATCTTCCATAAATCAAAATAAGGTTATTTGAAACATCTTTCTGAGTATCCTCTTAGTGAAACTGAAGCTGCAGTTACTTTTACATCTCTGTTGTTAAGGAATATAACAGTATTAAGTAACCGGGAAACTCTTATATGTAAGTAATTAGTTACCTGTCATAAACCTGAAGCAAAGAACATATGTCTTACATAGTCATAGTATCAGTATAAATATAGGTATAGGGCCAACTTATTTTTCCTTAATCTGGTCTAGCTTTTATATGGGTTCATCAACTTCCTGCCCAATTAGTTTGAGATAAAAGTAATATTGATGATGATTCTCTCTGTCTCAGATATATTCTGTTGGATGCATAGGCAATTAATGACTCTTTTGTGGCTTTGCAGTGCCATTCTGAACTGGATGTGCATGAAAAAATCAACAGATATTGTGATATTGTTTCATGTGAGAAATCCTTTAGATTTTGGTAAACAGAGGGCCAACTCGACTTGTATGAAAATTACCCAAATATTTTCTTTGACGTTTTTTATGGTATAGATTGCATCCAAGCTGTGGTTTGGTTTTGGCTGCCTTTTGTCATGCATTTCACGCAGTCTTGGGGATATATGTATTTTGCCGTTAGTATTGAGCTAGTTTTTACCTTAGGTTGGTACATTTTTTCTTACTGTTCTCTCTACCTATTGGTTTGTGCCTTTATGAGCTTTTGGTAATAAATGGTTGCATCTGATGAGTACAATTTGATGTCATGTGCTTGCTATCTCATTTTTCAGTGCAACCATAGAGTGAAGGCCCAAACATCAGAAGGTGTCACTGATTACATATGTTTGTTATAGATTTGCCAATATGCAATTAAAATGAAAGTATGACCCTAGTGGACCAAAAATGTTATTTTATGATCACCCTGATCTGAAACTATTATGTCATTCATTCCTACATTCTTTGAGATAAAACGTTCAGCACATGCCATATAAATTCTCAGCAATTGTCATTTGCAACTTAATTCTCACCCTTCTCTTGTATAACATTGGCAGCTCTGCTCTGTTCATCTCTGTGACAATTCTCCCTTTCTTCTGTAGCAAATTTTAGCTCCTGGAGCTCAGTATCACCTATAATAAGGGTAACAGTATATTACACATCGGAACATCACAAATATAACACATCAAACTACTCTACGTTTCAAACCAACTTTTTCACCCAAGTTTCGAACTAGCAAAAAGAACTTACGAGTTCTAATTGTTTCCTCTGCAGAACCTAGCTTCAAAGACAAACCATCCATCTGTTTATTCAAGCTATCAAGAGCTTCTGAACTTGCCAACAGTTTATTTTCCAACGTTTCCTTATCTTTCTCGGCTATATCAGCAAGAAAAAACAATTGGCTACTTAACGGGGGAAAAAGGAAGGAAAAAAAATAAAAAACACAAGGAAATTGAATATTCATTATACCATCCTGAACTAGACAAGCCAACTGCTGTAAAGTCTCAGTAAGTTGATCGCACAAAGTCTTAGTCGATGAGAACTTAGATTCCAGTCCCTTCCAGAGTTTCTCATCTTCCTTCTGCTTGACCTTGAGCTTCGCATTTTCGTTAAAGGCATTCTGCAATTTTTCTTCCAATGCGTGGATATGCTCCAGCGATTTCTTAAGCTTAGTATTCTGCTCAGGAACAGCAAGAAAGTAACAAAATTTCAATAGATAAGCGAAACGAAACCCTAGTACCGTGCATTTTAACGTGCGTGCATTCCTCGCCTTACAGCACACGTACAATCGCAAAGAAAAATCTTATCATACCGCAATTTCAAGATCAGTCTTCACCGAAGCTTGCTCTTTCACCAATTTCTCTGCACAGGAAGAAATCAACGACGCATGGCCACATTACGATCAGGATCTTCGTCCCGGAGAATAAAAGAAAATAAGGAAATTGAAGCGAAATTCAGATCAAAACCTGCGGTGAGCTTCAAATTCGCAAAACTCCCCGGTGAAGTGGAATCTGCGGAAGGACGCGAAGAGAGCGATGATAGTGGTTTGGCAGTTCCCGATACCGAACCGTACAACGATTTGAATTGATCCAAGCTCTTAGAGATTGGGAATCCTAGCTTCTGCATTGCAAAGATCGAAATCAAAAACGAAATAGAACCCTAGAAACCTGAATACTATTTGAACGTTTCTCTTCTCCCCACGTTACTCTGCTCTCACTCTGCATGGGACTAAGTGTACTTGAAATGTAGTTGGGCGCGCGGCCTTTATACTCCCGCGCGAGCATCACCTTACGCCGTTGCGATAGACCGTTAAATTTGCCGTTTTGATACACTTTAATCTATTTTAATATGAACAAACCTCTTCGGGACAATTTATTTATTTATTTCTTTGTGAATCTTAGTGTCACCACTAGTTAATTTTAAATTCTTACTACTGTGTTTGAAACTTTAAAAGATAAAATGAAAATTTCAAATGAAATCTCAAAATTTATAGTACTAGTGTTCAAAACTTTATTTAATCTTTTAAAATTTTAAATTGTTAGTGATATTTGAGTGATGTAGAAAGAGGGAAAATGACATTAGGAGACTTGTTTATAGTTGCTTACCAATATTTAGAGGTACATTATAGTATGGTTAATTTCATCTGTCAAGGAATTATCATATTATCAAGTATGATAAAAGCCTCATATATCATATTATCAAGTATGTTTTCAATTTTGTACCAAAAGCTTGTTAATTATACTAGTTGTTTAATTAAGCATTTGAGTGATTTGTCTTTGTTTTGTAGGCAAAATTATACTACTGAGGATTTTTTGAGAAAGATTTTTCAACTAAAAACATATTTGATAAGTTTTAGTTCAGTTAAATGCGTCAAAGAAAATGACAGGAATAGTCACATCAGATATTGTTACAAAATCACTGATTCAGGTCAGATTTTGGAGACAGTCCCGTAAAAGTAGTTGACGGAACTCAGTCTCATTTGGGACATTGACGACACTCTATGTCAGTCCCGTCAATTAAAACAACAATCTCGTCAAACACTCTGATGGGTATCTTAAATCCAAATTATTTAAATATTCTTGATGTCTCATATTTTATGAATTTTAATTATCATTTCATTTATGTTTTTATTTTATTTTATTTTCAAAATAAAAACAATATTCTATGTTTTTATTTTACGTTCTATTCATTAATATTTAAGTAATTTGGATTTAAGATACCCGTCAAAGAGTTTGATGGGATTGGTGTTTTAATTGACGGAATTGACATAGAGTGTCGTCAATATCCCAAACGAGACTGAGTCCCGTCAACTACTTCTACGGGACTACCTTCAAAATCCGGCGTAGACCAGTGGTCTCGTAACAATATCTGTAATTTTCTTTAACCCTTTTGACTGCATTAATCTGATAAAACTTATCAAATATGCTTTTAGTTGAAAAATCTTTCTCAAAAAATCCACGGTACCTTTGTCTTGTTTTGTACGTCTTTTGTCATATTACTTTCACAAAGTTGAACTAGTGATAAAGGTGTCCACGATTCAATTTGATTTTAAATATCGAACTAACCCAAATTAGAAAAGTCATTCAATTTAGGTGAATCAAACATATTTTAAAAAGTAATTTGGTTCTTGAATTGGTTTGAAGAAAATGATTCAATTCTTAAATTGATTTGAAAAATGTGATGCAATTCGGTTTGATTTGCAGTTCAATTCGGTTCAAATAATTTTTTTACACTCTTAAATATAGGTATGGTTCGATTCGATTCGGTTTTTAGCCTGAACCAAACTAGTTTAAAAAAAAAAGAAAAGTGTTTGTCCTTTTAAATGACACAACTTGTGTCATTTTACTCTCACAAAGAGGTGAGACATACACCTTTTTTTGTATCCACTCTCTCTCCTGTATGATCTATCTCGTTCTCTCACTTAAAATAACATAACTTTACATTCATTAAAATTACACACACTTTTCCCATAAAAAATAGTTTGATTCTTGAACTAGTTTGAATAAAATAATTCAATTTCTGAATCAATTTAAAAAAATTTAATTGCTTTTTTTTGGAAATTGTTAAAAATATAATAATATACTATAATAACTGTTTCGAACCGTTCACAATTCAGTTTAATTAATTTTATTTTTTCACACCCCTATTCAATGATGAAATCACTCTCGTTGGTGTAAGACAAAACGTCTATCTGGTGTTGTTTATCTAATGTTAATTAAATGCTTGATGCATTAATGCAAAATTATAACTTTAGCCGATCTACAATAACAGCGGCAATAATAGCCATTTAAGAAGATGATGAAAAATCATCAAATATGTTGATCATTAGAAGATGGTTATTCACCCAAGTGTTGTTGAAAATGCAGAAACAGGGAGAAGGAGCTTTGCTCATGATTTCATTGAATAATTCTGAAAGTTACAATTGGTCCTATATATATATATATGAATACATTACCCTATTAACAGAGTAACCAAAAATAACAAACACTTAACTAACTAAAAAGAAGCGGGAAACTTCAAAAACCTAACAAACTTAACAAACAGAATAACTAAATGCTATCTGTCATGGTTTGTAGCAGCAAAGTTCATCTCAATAGCTGCATCATTTCTTTCTTCTTTATTCTGCCGTAATACCCCCCACGAGATGGGCGCAGGATGTTAAAAAGCCCAATCTTGGACATGATAAAACTAAAACGAGGACTAGCTAAGGGTTTGGTGAATATATCAGCAAGTTGCGAAACAGAACTGACTGGGAGAAGCCGAAGCAAACCAGAAGAAATCTTCTCACGTGTGATATGGCAATCAATCTCGATATGCTTAGAACGCTCATGAAAAGTGGGATTGTGAGCAAGATAGATTGCTGAACGGTTATCGCAGAAGACCGAAGCTGGCTTGGCCCATGGAATACACAAATCCATGAACAGGTATTGCAACCATTGCAACTCACATGAGAGACTTGCTAAAGCTCGGTACTCAGCTTCTGAAGAGGAACGCGAAATGGTGTTCTGTTTCTTAGCTCTCCAAGCTACCAAGGAAGAACCAATGAACACACAATACCCTGAGATAGACTTGCGCATATCTAGGAAACATGCCCAGTCTGCATCAGCGAAACCACTAACATGAAGAGTAGAAGTAGCTGAAAAGAATAACCCAGTGGTTGGATTACCTTTTAAATACTTTAAAATTCAGAGTGCAGCACCCATATGAACATCAGTGGGGCATGAAACAAATTGGGAGAGTTGTTGAACGGCAAATGAGATGTCAGGACGCGTTGTGGTCAAATAGAGTAAACGACCAACAAGGCGTCTATAAGGAGCTGCGTCAGTGAGAGAGGAGCCAATCGCACGAGATAACCTGCACGAGGGATACATTGGAGTAGAAACAGATTTTGCAGCCAACAACCCAGCGTCAGAAAGGAGCTCGAGAGTGTATTTTCTTTGATTCACAATGATATCTAACTTGGAACGAGCAACCTCCAAGCCTAGGAAATACCTCAAACTTCCTAAATTCTTGATCTTGAACTCACTGTCAAGGTAAGACTTCACTCTATTAATTTCCTTAAGACAATCACCGGAAAGAACGATATCATCAACGTAAACCAACAACATTGTGAAGCTTGATGGAGTGTGACGAACAAAGATAAAGTGATCAGAATTGGTTTGTGTATAACCCAACAACACCAAAGCTGATGAAAGCTTAGCATACCACTGACGACTCGCCTGTTTCAATCCATACAAGGATTTGTGGAGTTTGCAGACAAGGTTAGGAGGAGAGGTTTGTAACCCAGGAGGAACTTGCATATAGACCTCCTCATGAAGATCACCGTGGAGGAATGCATGTTCACATCAAGCTGGGCAAGGTGCCAACCTTTAACCGCAACAATGGCGAGAAGGGTTCTAACTGAGTTGAGCTTAGCAACAGGGAAAAACGTGTCGAAGTAGTCAACCCATTCTTGCTGCGTGAAGCCTTTGGCCACAAGCATGGCTTTGTAACGCTCAATAGTGCCATCAGAATTAAACTTGATCTTATAGACCCACTTACAACCAATAGATTGTTTATTAGGAGGTAACTCAACAATGGACCATGTCTTATTATGGTTTAAAGCATTGAGCTCAACCTGCATTGCATCCTGCCAAACCTTATGACCAACAGCTTGTGAATAAGTTCGGGGCTCAATATGAGTAGAGGAATTCAGGCAAAAAGATTTATAGGGTGAGCAATAGGATGTATATGAAATAACATTAGATAAGGGATAAAGTGAAGTACCTGGAGATGATTGAGTGTGTGTGACAGCAGAAAGACCATGATGATAATCAATGAGGTAGCGAGGAGGACCACGAGTTCGAGAGGAACGATGAAGGTAGTGTGAGTGGGAGGAATAACAGTCTCTTACTCAACGGGTGTGGTGTTTGGGGAATTGGAGGTGATGGAAGTAGGATTGGAAGAAGTATTTAAGGTATTGGAATTAATGGGGACACTGGATGGATCAGTAAGTGGGAAAACCAAATCATAGAAATCAGGAAAATCATGAAGAGTAGGTGACAAAGTTGGTATAACCGGAGGTACATAATGAGGTATTTGTTTGAATGGGAAAATATGCTCATAGAAGGCAACATTGCGTGAAACCAAGAATGCATAAGAAGCCAAATCATATATCAAAAATCCTTTAGTTCCATCTTTATAACCAACAAAAACTCCTTTACTAGCACATGGAGAAAATTTGGTACGATGGGATGAGTGTGTAGAGGCAAAAGATAAGCATCCAAAGACACGTAAATGAACCAAGGAAGGGGGTGTGCCATAAATTTTCTCATATGGGGTCAAAGTACACACACGATTTATAAGGTGAACAACATGATTCACAGCAAAAGACCACATATTAAGAGGAAGAGAAGCTTGGAACATTAAGGCACAAACCACATTAAGTAAGTGCTGATGTTTTCGTTCCACAATGGCATTCTGTTGGGGTGTTTCAATGCAGCTGGTCTGATGGATTATTCCCTTTGATTTAAAGAAATCAGCCATTAAAAACTCATTTCCATTATCACTCCTTAGGATTTTAATAGAGGTACCAAACTGATTGGCAATTAGTGAATGAAAGTTATGGATATGGCTACGTGTTTCAC